TGTGGAAGCAGTCCAGCTCTTGGGAGATACTGCCATATATCAAAGCTGGTTTGACACCAAATAATAACACCCATTATGCCAAAAATATGAACAGTCAAGAGTTGCTTATTTGTTGTTCTACTTATGTATGCCTTCTGTTGTACCTAGCATGTTGTGCATTTAAGAGTTGTGTTGTTGCTGTTTGCCTTCAAGTCATTTCTGCAGTTTTCTTGGCTAGATTTGTTTAGAAGCTCCTCACCTTTACTTTTTAATGAGGCCGAGAGAGTACGACTTACTCAAAGTGGTATTCCATGGCTGATGAAGAATTCAAACTGTGGGCCTCAGAATCATAGGGCCTTTCCACACAGCCATATAACCCAGAATATCAAAGCAGACAATCCACAATATCTTCTTTGAACTGAGTCCACACTGCCATATAATCAAGTGCAATGTGGATTTTATTCAGCTGTGTAGAAGGGATCATAGTCAAACATTCACATTACTACACCACACTGGCTCTCCATATTTAAGAATAAATATAAATTATCTGCTAGGGATGTAAATTCAGACTCCACTTAATCACACTTTGGTAAATGTGATGGCAATAAAAATTATCTTTGCTGTGTAGTGTTTATAAAATTGAGCAATTTAGGGCAGTGGCAGATAGTGAGATCCAGGCCACAGATAGTGAAACCCATGCTACGGATACCGAGACTCATTAAGTGGGTAACTGGCACTGGCTGCAGGCCGCCTGTGGATCCGTGCCTGGTGAGACCAAGAAGCTATAATCCCAATGTTTCCCAATTAAAAGATCCCACCAGTTGAAGAAGAAAGCCACCGAGGTATTTTATTGCAATCCAGGTGGAAAGGATGACAGCTAGCAGTAAGCCGCTAAATGAAGCTGAGATACTTGACATAGGCAAAACAGACCATTTTTATACAGTAAAAGCTTTTGCATTTCCCAGCTGGAACTGGCTTTGTGCTGATGGGCAGAGTCAGGTTTGACCTCAAGGCCAGCTGGGAGAATTCCCTTGGAGAGGCGGGACTGCAGCGCCCACCAGCCAATCACAGAGAATTCCCCGCTTCTGATGCAGATTTCTGCTCGCCAATGGTTGACAGGACACAGGATGGTTCAAGAGACAAATGAAGAGGCAGTTTTGTGAATGAATCACTGGTTGCTCTTTTAGGATGAACAAAGTGGGGCCATCGGGTCCCTGATTATTATGGAAATGTTCTTTTATGTTTGTGAGTGACCCATTAAGGCAGATAGGGCACTCGTAGTGCCCATGTCCATTGTAGTCCATACAGCATATTCTCCAAAGAGATAGGATTAGTGCAGTGGTTCTCAACCTTGCTAATGCCATGACCCCTTAATGCAGTTCCCTATGTTGTGGTGACCCCCAAACACAATATTGTTTTCGTTTCTACTGGATACCTGCCATTTCAATACTGTTATAAATCATAATGTAAATATTCGATATACAGTATGTATTTTCATTCACTGGATTAAATTGAGCACAAATGCCCAATATACCCAAATGTGAATGCTACTGGGGTTGGGGGGATTGATTTTGTAATTTGGGAGTCATAGTTGCTGGAATTTATAGTTCACCTCTAATCAAAGAGCATTCTGAACTCCATCAGTGATGGATTTGAACTGAACTTGGCACACAGAACTCCCATGACTAACAGAAAACACTGGAAGGGTTTGGTGGGCATTGACCTTGATTTTAGGAGTTGTAGTTCACCTATATCCAAAGGAGTGTTGTGGATTCATGAAATGATGGATCCGGACCAAACTTGGCATAAATACTCAATATGTCCAAAAGTGAACACTGGTGGAGTCTGGAGAAAATAGACCTTGACATTTGGGAGTCAATCAAAGAGCATTCTGAACCCCACCAATGATAGAATTGGACCTAACTTTCCACACGTAACCCAGATGACCAAGAGAAAATACTGTGTTTTCAGATGGTCTTTGGCGACCCCTCAAACACCCTCTCGCGACCCCCCAGGGGTCCTGACCCCCAGGTTGAGAAACACTGGATTAGTGAATCCAGACCTGGGAAAGGGGAAATGTCATTTTGGGAAGATGGGGCACGACCTCCCGGTAACAGGGCAGATGTATCAGGTGATTACTGTTCTGATTATGTCCAGGTGGCTGTACAAAAGACAGGTGGCCCACTATCAGAATCCTGTTGTCTCTTGTACAGTCTGGTATATGGGTACAAATGATGTGGGCTTGGATACCATTGTTATGATGACCAGGAAGTGCTGGAGGGGACTTCAAGGTATGATGAGTGGGTTAAGGGTAACCTGAGCTTGATCAGTGGCTTGATCCTCAAATGTTTTTTTTATAAAACATAAAATATTATTTTTACACATACAAAAGTATCTGCAAATACCAGGGCTCCCTGATCATGGGAACCAGGGCATCCACAGGAGTAAGGGTTGACAAAGGGGTTAATGGGGGTTTTGGGATATTATATTAGGAGGGAAGGAAGGGAGCTCAGCTTCTAGAACTGCAGGAACTGGGGGGCCATGTGGGTACTGGGGCTGGTTACAAGATGCAGTATAGAGAGAGAGAGAGAGGAGGCAAAAGAAGATACAAAGAATCAAATATAGAGGCTAACACACCACAGTGCACATTTATTAAAGGGTTATATTGTAATCAAGGGGGGGGGGGGAGAGAAATGTATCCATGGTGCTGGTAGCTGCTGCTGAGCTCCTCTGTATCTCTGATAATTTGCAAAACCTCATTTATTTGTGGCTTCAGAATGATTTTGTGCACTTTCCTTTTTCCATAAAATGCGCAATGTGGAAAAATACAAGAATGATTGCATGGACTACTAAAATTAATAAGAATAAGAAAAAGCACTAGGGTTGTTGTAGGTTTTTTCGGGCTATATGGCCATGTTCTAGAGGCATTTTCTCCTGGCATTTCGCCTGCATCTATGACAAGCATCCTCAGAGGTAGTGAGGTCTGTTGGAACTAGGAAACTGAGTTTATATATCTGTGGAATGACCAGGATGGGACAAAGGACTCTTGTCTGTTGGAGCTAGGTGTGAATGTTACAAACTGGCCACCTTGATTAGCATTTGATGGCCTGGCAGTGCCTGGGGCAATCTTTTGTTGAGAGGTGATTAGATGTGCCTGATTGTTTCCTCTCTGTTGTTTTGCTGTTGTAATTTTAGAGTTTTTTTTAATACTGGTAGCCAGATTTTGTTCATTTTCATGGTTTCCTCCTTTCTGTTGAAATTGTCCACATGCTTGTGGGTTTCAATGGCTTCTCTGTGTAGTCTGACATGGTGGTTGTGAGAGTGGTCCAGCATTTCTGTGTTCTCAAATAATATGCTGTGACCAGGTTGGTTCATCAGGTGCTCTGCTATGGCTGATTTCTCTGGCTGGAGTAGTCTGCAGTGCCTTTCATGTTCCTTGATTCATGTTTGGGCAATGCTGCGTTTGGTGGTCCCTATGTAGACTTGTCCACAGCTGCATGGTATAACAAGAGGATCCCTCTTGTTCTTTGCTGAACGGAGCATTTGTTGGATTTTCTTGGTAGGTCTGTAGATAGTTTGTATGTTGTGTTTCCTCTTCAGCTTCCCTAAGCAGTAGTCCTGGAGAGGGATGGTGGGGCTGGAGTTCACATTTTCTCAGATCTCAGTCTTTACAATACTTCTTTGTACTCACAACAGCCCTTTAAGGTAGGCCAATATTCTTTTATTTTTCCTTGTTGGGAGAACTAACAATTTGTTAGCATCTTGGAAGGCAGTTAAGAAATACCCATTAGGAATTGAGAAATCAAACAGCATTTCTTCTACAGTGTGTTGTTGTTGTTGTTCATTCGTTCAGTCGTCTCCGATTCTTCGTGACCTCATGGACCAGCCCACGCCAGAGCTCCCTGTCGGCCATCACCACCCCCAGCTCCTTCAAGGTCAGTCCAGTCACTTCAAGGACGCCATCCATCCATCTTGCCCTTGGTCGGCCCCTCTTCCTTTTACCTTCCACTTTCCCCAGCATAATTGTCTTCTCTAGGCTTTCCTGTCTCCTCATGATGTGGCCAAAGTACTTCAACTTTGTCTCTAGTATCTTTCCCTCCAGTGAGCAGTCGGGCTTTATTTCCTGGAGGATGGACTGGTTGGATCTTCTTGCAGTCCAAGGCACTCTCAGAACTTTCCTCCAACACCACAGCTCAAAAGCATCGATCTTCCTTCGCTCAGCCTTCCCTATGGTCCAGCTCTCACAGCTCTCACATCTCAGGGAATACCATGGCTTTGACTAGGCGGATCTTTGTTGCCAGTCTGATGTCTCTACTCTTTACTATTTTATCGAGATTGGACATTGCTCTCCTCCCAAGAAGGAAGCGTCTTCTTGATTTCCTGGCCACAGTCTGCGTCTGCAGTAATCTTTGCACCTAGAAATACAAAGTCTGTCACGGCCTCCACATTTTCTCCCTCTATTTTCCAGTTGTCAATCATTCTTGTTGCCATAATCTTGGGTTTTTTTTGATGTTTAGCTGCAACCCAGCTTTTGCGCTTTCCTCTTTCACCTTGATTAGAAGTGTAGTGTAGATCCTGGAAACTCGGGGCCTTGAGGTTTGGCCACCCCAGTAGGTCTCTCCAATTTTGATCCTGTCAGTCCTCACCAGCTTCCTGATATACTTTCCTTTTCTCTCTCTTCCCTGCAGAAAAACTACATTTCCCAGGCTACTCCGCGCGCCCTCTCCTCCTCCTCCCCCCTCCTTTTAAAGTCTATGCACGTGGCTCGCTGGGAGGAGCTGGGAACGTCACATTCCTGCATTCTCTTTTGCCTGTGTCAGAGGAGCCCGGTTTTCCCCCTCTGGAACTGGGGGGAGCCCGGAAAATAAAGGAAGGGAGACAAAAACCCACCCTGGTCCACTCCTTTCCTTCTGCCGCCCCTCGGGACTCATGCGCCTCCGAGCGGGGATCTGACCCTTGGCTCCCTCTCCCCTCTTTCCTTCCTTTCTTCCTTCCTTCCTTCCTTCCTTCCCTCCCTTCCCGTCCCTCCTTCCCCTCCTCCTCCCTCTAGCCATCCTCTTCCTCTCCTCCAGCCAAGCCCGGGCTCTCCAATAAGGTAATTGGGACCGAAAGGCGGTGGGTTGTGTCTGGCTTGGGTTGGAGAGGGAGGTCTTGGAAAGGTCTTGTTGGTGGTGCGCGCTTGGATTGCGCCTTCGTGCGTAATGGTCCCCTCGGCGGTTGTCAGCCGAGAAACACCTTTTCCTTTGATAATAAAGTGGGGTCCCTCTTCCCAAAGCTGGGATCTTACAGATTGGTAACAGAGGGAGTGTAATTTCCCTTTGCGATGGCCTCTTTTGCCTCTGTTTGCCCGTTTTCTTGTGCGCATTTGTCCTAACCCTCAGGATCACAAACTGCTTTCTCCTTCTCTCCTCCAGCTGCGCTTTCTTTGATCGCCGAGGGAAAAGGGGCTCGTTTTAGTGCCAGCGGCTCTATTGAGGAATGTATACACAAGAGAAGAGGGGCGGGTGGTTTTGGTCTTTCTTTCCTGCCCCCTTTTTTCCTGTTGTTGTGTCGGTTGCATGTCATCCTTGGCGTAGCCAAAGAGGGTGTTGGTGCGCGCTTGGCGCTTCCCTTTGTTTTGCCAGCGCTGCGCTCGGCTGGCTCTTGGCTGGCGTGACCAACTTGCAAGGGGGATTGATTCATTCCGTCGGGACAGGGGCTGCAGGGGGAAATCCCATTGGAACCAGCAGTGGGGTGGCTTGGGGAGCCCTTCTTCTTGCCCTCTGGCCTCTCCTTCCATAGGCCCTGCTTGGGACTGAGCTTATTTTGCTCTCTCTTTTTCATTCCAAAAGCAAACCTTCCTATCTGATTCCTCTCTTCTTCCCTATACACAGATCTATGTGTGGTGATTGCAATGCCCCCATCTCCTCCATCAGTATCCTCTCCCCTGTCCCTTTTCCAAAGGGGGAGGCATGTATATATACAGTATATATAAACATCTTGGCTGGTTGGGGAAAACTAGGCCTGGTTGGTATTTCTCTCCCTTCTTTTTGCAAAGGCATCATTCCGATATCATCTCTCTTACTCACACCAAGACCTTCCCTTGCCAGACATTTGGGCGGGGAGAGGAAGAGAATGGATAGTAGGCATAGTTGTAATTTTTCACGCCCGCTGTAGCAAAACGCAGCCAAGGCTGTCTTTACATTGGTAGATTGCCTTAATCTATACATTCTTGAGAGCAGAGTAGAGATTCGTTTGTCTTTACGTCCTGACAGATTGCCTTCATCTATAAATTATTGAGAGCAGAGATTCATTAGGATCCATCTTAATGTGATTGTATATTTGTGTATGTCTGTGTGTATAGAGTGGACCCTTCGTATCCAATGTGGTTTGGTTCCAGAACTGTATATTTGTGTACACATGTATCTCCCTCTATAATATAGAGGTAGATACACAGACACACATTCACACAACACATATATAAATACAGTGGGTACTTGGTGTCTGCCAGGGTTTGATTCCAGAACCCTGTTTGGATATAAAAATCCATAGATGCTCAAGTCCCATTATATGCAGTAATGTATTAAAATAGTAAAATCAAGGTTTGCCTTTTGCAGTCCTTTTTTGAATGTGTTCAAGTCATGAATGTTTGTATCTGTGGATACCATGGGCCAAGATACGTACACACACACTGTAGCAAAAGCAGCCAAGGTTGCATTTAAATTGAATCATACATAGGTAGATTGCCTTCACCTATACATTCTTGAGAGCAGACTAGAGATTCATTTGGATCCATATTATGCAGCTGCATATTTATATACATTTATGAACATGATGTATACAATGTGCCTTTGGTATTCACTGGGTTTTGGTTGAATAACTGCATATTTGTGTACACACACACGTGTGTGTGAGTATACAGTGAACCTTTGGTATCCATTGGGTTTTGGTTCCATAACTGGATGTGTGTGTGTGTACAGTGAACCTTTGATATCCACTGGGTTTTGGTTCCATAACTGCATGTGAGTGTGTGTATAGTGAACCTTTGGTATCCACTGGGTTTTGGTTCCATAACTGCATGTGAGTGTGTGTATATACAGTGAACCTTTGGTATCCATTGGGTTTTAGTTCCATAACTGCATATTTGTGTACACACATGTGTGAGAGAGTGAGAGAGTATACACTGAACCTTTGATATCCATTGGGTTTTGGTTCTATAACTGCAGATTTGTGTAGATGTGTGTGTGTGTGTGCGTATGTACAGTGAACCTTTGGTATCCACTGGGTTTTGGTTCCATAACTGCATATTTGTGTACACACACATGTGTGTGTGTGGGTATACAGTGAACCTTTGGTATCCATTGGGTTTTGGTTCCATAACTGCATATTTGTGTACCCACGTGTGTGTGTTTATGTACAGTGAACCTTTAGTATCCTCTGGGTTTTGGTTCCATAACTGCATATTTGTGTAGATGTGTGTGTGTGTGTGTGTGTGTGTGTACAGTGAACCTTTGGTATCCACTGGGTTTTGGTTCCATAACGGCATATTTGTGTACACAAGTATGTGTGTGTATGTACAGTGAACTTTTGGTATCCACTGGGTTTTGGTTCCATAACTGCATATTTGTGTAGATGTGTGTGTGTGCATACAGTGAACCTTTGGTATCCATTGGGTTTGGGTTCCATAACTGCATATTTGTGTACACACGTATGTGTGTGTGTGCATACAGTGAACCTTTGGTATCCATTGGGTTTTGGTTCCATAACTGCATATTTGTGTACACACGTATGTGTGTGTATGTACAGTGAACCTTTGGTGTCCACTGGGTTTTGGTTCCATAACTGCATATTTGTGTAGATTTGTGTGTGTGCATACAGTGAACCTTTGGTATCCATTGGGTTTTGGTTCCATAACTGCATATTTGTGTACACATGTGTGTGTATGAGTATACAGTGAACTTTTGGTATCCACTGGGTTTTGGTTCCATAACTGCATATTTGTGTACACACGTGTGTGAGAGAGAGTATACAGTGGATCTTTGGTATCTTCTGGACTTTGCTCCTTGGGTACCAAAATCCAAGGATACTCAAGTCCCATTATATACAGTGGTTTAATAAAATTCTACCCCTAACATAAAATTTCCTTTTGGAATCTTCATTTGAATATTTTCAAGCCGTGAATGGTTCAAGCTGTGAATACAGACTCGGTGGATATGCAGAGCTGGCTCTACACGCATGCACACACATACATATTAAGGGACTGGTGAAAGTTTTGTTTATCCTCTAGGATTTGGCAGGTGCTTCCTGTGCAAGTCGCCCAGACTCAAGCCCGCCCAGAATCATTTCTCCCCGCCCTCCTCCATCAATGATGTGTCTTGAGGTCATCTGCTTCCCTCCCCCCACCGTCCTCTCCTGGTAATATAGGATTAATTGTTCAGAGGCTATTGTAATCCTTTTAGCCTTTCCCCATTGGCCCTCGGCTGCTTTACACAGATTTTTTTCTCTCTCACTCCGATTCTGCCCATGCTGCGGGAGCTTTCGATTGTTCTGTCAGAGAGGCTCTGGAACATGGGTCCATTTTGCTGAATTTCAAACGGTGTTGGAACAACATTGCTGAAATAAAAAGATGTAGCCAGCCTGCATGTTTTAAAGCCAGAGAAACATGTAATGCCTTTTGTAGTCGCATGGGTCTCTTGGGAGTTATTAAAATGCCAACATTAGATTATCAGGATTTGAAAATGTGCATAGGTTTTAAGTCATCCAAGAGGTTTATGGTCTTTCAGTAGAGCAAACGATGCATATGCACAGCTTGATTAGTTGCAGTTGCTTTGTGATTTGGGCATATGCTGTCTTTCCTAATGTATGTCATTTAAAAAAAAACCCTGGAGAATTCCATGGATGCTGTTGGCCTCATTTGCTGATTTTGTTTCCTGATCCTGCAAGATAATATCGAGTCCCTGATATTGCTTTTCTGTCTGGATTATGATATATGAGTGGTAGGGAGGACTTGTGCTTTTTCCTAGCAAATGTACCTCTCAGTGCCAGTAGCTTGTAGTAGCATCTTACAGTAAGCATGCATTGCAATCATACTCATAGCCGGCGAGCATGCCCTGCAGTAGTGCTGACGGAGAGCCGTCTTAGGTTGAATTTCAGGCAGATTTGGGTGCGGTTCTTTTTATGTATTTATTTATTTATTTTTCTATTCCACTCATTGTGAATTTTAGCAATTATTATCATCGTTGCCTCCCTTTTGCTTCTTCGTCTTCCTCAGCAAATAGCATGCAGCTGTGTGTGTGATATCTCTTGCCATCCTTAGTCATGGGAATGAATAGACACTTCCAGAGGCCAGGAAGATAACTGTAGTGTTGATGCTGAGGTGCCAGTTTCTCCTGTTCCCAGTCTCCCCCACGTAGAGTTTCCTGCATATGGGTTGCTCATGAAAGCGGCTGCAGTGGGGAGAACAGATTGCAGTGGGAAGCAGCTGTAGATCAGTGAAAAAGGCATCTGTCTCTCTTTCCCTCTCTCTCCTTCTCTGCCTTCCGCCCTCCTTCCTACCCTGGTATCAGCGAACAGTCCTTGCATTTAGCAGAAGCATCAGCAGTCTTATACATCCGATATCACTGCTTTTCATCTTCTGCATTTAGAGATGCTTCTGGCATCAGGGTTGTGTTTTCCTGATGGATGTCGGAATGCCTGGTATCTGAGGCTGGGCGTATTGTGGGCAAGGAGGTTTGAATGGTTGGTGGCTGAACCAGAAAGGCAAGCAGTCATCCTCTCATGCATACACCTTAGACTCACAATCCAAGTTGTTGTAGGTGGGCAAATTGGTGCTGGTGTCATTGAGAAAAATGAATGGAGCCTGGTTGTACTGACACAGATTGTATTGGAGCAGAAAACCGTGTTTCTCTTCTTTCTTCAGTATGCATATTGCTTTCAGAGAGAACTGGAAACTTCCTTTAGTAAATCATTTTGCAGGATGAGGGAGACGATGTCATTTCTCTCGTCGGTCATTGCAGAACATGCATGAATAATTTATTCAATATTTCATTATGTATTCATTACATTTATATGTCACCTTCCTCCAGAGAGTGCTTGGTTGTTCTGCGCCACACTTAG